TGTCGGTTGATTCGTTGAGGAACTGAGTTAAAGAGGGAACGAGTTTGTCGTAGGCCTTTTTGAGGAAAGGGACTTTGTGAATCGGCAACTCGGAGGTTGACTCAGTGCCTTGTGGTAAGCCATCGACGTGAGGTAAAGGAAAGGAAACAAAGTCTATGTGAGGATGTTTTGGGAGACGTTGGAGGTTTTTTGGGGTGGAAATGAAAGAGATTTTATGACCCTTTTGAGCTAGGAACTTGGAGAGCTCAAAGAATGGCTTAACATGGCCATAAGCTAGCCAAGGGAAGATTGCTATGTGAAGCCTATTATCGTTCTTCTCCATCTTTAGTTAGGTATGTTTAGATAGAGCATCTAGATCTCAAACCTCATAAAAGCAAAAGGTATACAAGAACTTGTCATTTCATTGATGCCCATTTTGAAGGTAATTATAGTTGCAGCAATAGTTTTTCTATTAATATATTATTCATGAATAATAAAATTGGCACAATACGACGTGAAAACTTGTGTTTCAAAACATTATCCAGTGAACTATTACGCTCCCTTTTTGTAGGCTAATAATTAGGGCTGTTATTCATGTCACGTTGTGGTGTTCTGATCTATTTTTCTTTACTTTACAGTTAATCCAAACACAATTTATTGCACAAAATTTTTAAAAAACTGCAATACAAACACGACAAAAATATTTTACGGGTTAACACAACACGACACAAAAATAACCCGTGATACGAAAATAATCCGTTCGAAATTGACATGAAACTTATTTACTTTTCTCTAGATTTTTACATAGTAGAAATAACATAAAATTCTTAACACGCTAAAATATAATAACATCCATTAAGATTAAGCAAATAATAGTATAAGATTTTGAGTATAACTATCATGACATCATAAGTTTATAATAAATTCTAAAATATAAAATGAAATTTTTTTTTTAATTTTTTACGAATTCGTATCGTGTTTGGATTAGGCAGGTCTAAATTGAAATTTATCAGTGTTTTTCGTGTCAATTTTAAGTCGACATAATTCTAACTCAAACCTATTTTTTCAATTTTAACCCGCAAAATTTATATCGTTTTTGAGTGGATTGTCGTGTGATAACCCAAATTACCGGCCTTACTAATAAGACATAATAAGTTGTTCAGTGCGTAATTAGTTTTTGTTTTTCAGTTTTAGTGGAAGCTCAACTTTATCTGTTGAATATCGTGTTATTGAATATAATATTCAAAGTGGTCGAGGGTGCTTGCTTGCAACTCTTAGCCAATTGGGTTTTTGTATAATTTTTTGGACAAATTTCGTGTTTAATTATTTGCTGCGATTAGTGAATGAATAAATTGCACAAAAATTTTTTTCCACATTGATCTTTGTACAGCTCTACAAGGAAAAATAAAAAAGGAAAAAAAAAAAAGATTCGCAAGTATAACATGCGTAACGTGCTCTTAAAGCCGTTTTCTCAAACCTTCAGGCATTGTTCGTTTCCCTGATTCGAGTTTAGAATTCGAGTTGAGATGTGATTTTATGTGAGAATTTTTTTATTGTAGCAATAATTGAGCTTTATACTAGGCGCGCTAAGAAAGATAGATTGACTTGCACAAACCGAATCATGATATATTTTGTTAATTGAATAAACCTAATCGTGAAATCGTTTTATTGAATAAACCTAATCACATGATATATTTTTTGTTTATGTATTGCTGTTTCCATCAGATTCCGTTTTTTAAATGTTAATTTATTCTGTTATATATATTCATGTCATTATGGTTGTCGTTTGACTTAATACATGTGCGTGAGTTCACGTAACTTATTCACGTAAAAATAAATAAATAAATCCCTTACTGCAAGCATCTGGGGGAGCGCCATGAACCCACAACCATGGTGGCACCGTCTCCCGCGGTGGAACGCAGGGTGCTGTGATTTGGGGGATAAAAGGTATGGATAATGTTTTTAAAATAATTTTGTTTTGACTATGAAAATAGATATGAAAACATTTTAAAAATGGTTGAAAACTGTTTTTCCATTTTTATTTTCATTTTCTAAGCTATAACTTAAAACATATTTTTTGAAATATACCTAAACATAATTTTATCTTTTTTCTAGAAACAATCTCAGCACTAGTTTTAAAATATTTTCTACACGTCTTTTGAGGCAAAAACGAAACAGTCTCCAAACCATGTTTGGTTAACAAATACTTTGAAAACGATTGAGATTGAAAACAAAAAACAACGGAAATGGATTTTGTTAAAATGTTTCTCAAACCATTTGCTTAACAAAAATCATTTTCGTTGTTTTTATTTCAATCTCATTTTCAAAGTATTTACTAATCAAACGCGGTTTGGAGACAGTTTTTATTTTTTACCTCAAAAGACGTGGAAAAATATTTTAAAAAACAAGTTGAAAACAATTCCAAACATGCCGTGTTTATTTGTATGTTTTTAAAAAAAAAAAATTCAAATCTGGTTTTTTTTTTTTTTTCAAATGTTGTTTTAATTTTAATTTGAGAGGTATAGTTAAGAGTAATGGCAGGATTTTGATCTTCTCCATACACAGTTAGTCACATAAGAATGGAGATCTTTTTTTAGTCGCTAATTGATAATAGAATAGTGTTAGGGACACTAATTCTAATTTAGATTCCTGTACCAATTCTAGAATTGTCATTTTTTATTAGTAGGTTTATGAAAGATTGTACATTACTTAATAATAAGAGATTGCATTTTTGTATAAAAAAAAATGACAACTCAAGGATTGATATACAGAGTTAGGATTAGAGTTAGTATTTATAGCATTGTTTGTGACAAAATGGTTTGGCCTTGTCTGATTCGCCGTTTGAATTGTAGTGATTTATGCCTCGTTCATTTCACCGATTCGAGTTTTCAGTTTTAAGTTTCTACAGTAAAAAGCTCTCAGAAAATATACATCTAATTTTTCTGCTACAATGAAAAGCTTTCAGAAAATGTCACATCTCAGCTTAAATTGAAAACTTAAATCCGCGAAATGAATGAAGCATTAGTTTAGATTATAGAATTAATATGAACCTTTGGGCACAATTCCAATTGAATTATTTAGTTCTAATTGCTAAACCAAACAAGTGCTTTGTCTTTTTTTTATTTTTTTGTTTTTTTTTTTGTTAAACATGCGGTAGAAATCGACATTTTGCCTCAACGGAAAGGAGATGGTTGTAATTATCTATTGACTTTACGTCCTTTTTTATTCTTTCTTTTGATACGATGTAGGGTCTATGACTCCCACTTTACACAAAAAATAAAACCATTAAAATTCAAATTTTAATAAACATATACCCATCCAACCACTTGAGCTAGCTCCAATTAGCCCCATTTCTTAACTTGTCATCAGTTTTTCTTTAATCCCAGATTCTTTATGTAGTTTTACCGCTAAAGATTATTCTCGTTTTTAAGTTTGATGTCATTTCTTTTGTTTTTTGTTATTTCTCAAACAGAGGATGAAAATGTCAAACTTGACGGAAATATGAGTCCAAATTTACATAAATCAATAAAATTTATGTAAAAAAGACAAAGATTTACATAAAAAATTGAAAATTTCTAGTGAAATCATAGAAAATGTAAAAGACTAGATAATACATGAATTTTGTAAATCGAATTAGTTATGTAAATGAGCATATTAATTATAGTGTTATAAACATAAATGTGGTGTGTAATGTAAAAACACACATTGGTGAAATTACAACTTAATTCATTATAGTTTCACAATCTCACACTATTTTACATACAAACTACGTAATTAATCAAACATTCTTTCAGATAAAAAAATCAAACATTCTTCATCTATATTTTAAAAGTCAATACCAAAATGAACTAGTCTGTGGAGATTCAAAAAAACAAGATATAATTTTTTCGATGAATCAAATACATGATATAAATTTGCACCCTATCTTGGCCTCCTGAACAATATTTTTCTGAAGATAAAAAATTTGTGTAATTTTGAAAATAGTTATAATTAACATCCATTCATCAAAAAGTAGAAGCTCTATACATATGAATTTTGATTTTTTTCCCCCTCAAAAGTAATTTTTCTCACGTGTGGATATCAGTGTATGAATCAAAGACATGATATAAATTTGCACCCTATCTTGGCCTCCTGAACAATATTTTTCTGAAGATAAAAAATTTGTGTAATTTTGAAAATAGTTATAATTAACATCCATTCATCAAAAAGTAGAAGCTCTATACATATGAATTTTGATTTTTTTCCCCCTCAAAAGTAATTTTTCTCACGTGTGGATATCAGTGTATCGTGGCTATGTCCATAAAGAAATTGGAGCATATTCGGATATATACTTCGGTAAAATTGTGAAGAAAAAAAATGAATATTGATATTTTAGGGATATTGTATGAAAGTATCGGTATTTCACAGATACTAAGAAATATCTTTAATCTCTGTATTTGTATCGAGATACCAATTTACATATATTATCAAAGAAATATGATAAAGTTGTGGATAATAATTGTCTCGAAGTAGGTTTTTGTTTTTGTTTTCCTTTTTTTCTTTTGTCACTTTCGTTATATATTTCCGTTTCTATGCTGTTTCATTTTTCTTTAATTATTTTGCTGTTTCCCATTAGATATCGCGTTCATATGTCGTCTTTTAATATAGGATGATGTTGTTTTTATATGGTTGTCGTTTTGCTTAAATCTATCTTTATCGTTTAGTAATATCACTTATATCTATGTTTTATCCACGTTTGTTGGTTTTACTCTCCCCGGATGTTTTATAATCTTCACAAGTCATAAGAAATGCATCCCAAGGTCGTGAATGATATATCATGTAACCACGTTTAATTAATTGGATTTGTCCTGCATCGCTAACTTATTGAACTGCTGGGATGTTTATATGAGGTTTGAACACTCTCCGTGAGTTTGTTGTTTAAATCTAAAAAAGTGTTAGATTGTGAATTTGTCTCAGGTCACCCATATAACATAAGTATTTGCTGCTATTAGTAAAAAATTGCAGGAAAAGAATTTGTCCACCTTAGTCTTTGCACAAGTCAAAGGAAAAAATAATAATGATACAACGTCTGGCAAGTATCACATGCTTTTAAGCCATTTTTCTATACCTTCAACAATTGAGTTTTATATATGCTTAAAGAAAGATCTTATCTTTTATTGAATAAACCTAATCATGATATGTTTCTTCGAATATATTCCAAATGCCCAACATTAATACTTGAAAAATAACAAAGATGCGCCATCACTGATTAAACAATCCACAAGCCAGGGAAATAATAGCTTCAGACTGGCCCAGGCGTAGGCAACCAAGTCTCAAGGCACATGTTAAAATCCTCCAACCACTTGTTATTCATATCCACATCGCCAAATGTCTCTTTCGCGGCCCTTGCGTTGATCCTAACCGACTTGGCATCCTCCCCAACCACGACTTGCCTAATTACCTCGGACACCGACTCACTCGTAAATGACCCTGTTTCCTCATTCCTTGGCACTTCCAACCCGACCCGATTCCCATGCAACAACCTCGAAATCAACCCAAGATCCGCACTTGCACCGGCAAACAAGACCAACGGCTTCCCAAACCCGAGTGCCTCAATAACCGAGATCCAACCACAATGAGTCAAGAACCCGCCCACTGAAGAGTGAGCCAGTATACTAAGTTGTGGAGCCCAACCCCTCCACACCAAACCTCGCCCTGCGACTCGGGTTTCAAACCCGGGTGGAATTATTTCCGAACCCAGTTGCCCTTCAACAAGTGGGCGATCTTTAATGACCCAAATAAAGGGCAACCCGGATTTCTCTATCCCATGAGCTAACTCGTGCATCAAATCCTGAGTCAGACTCACTTCCGTACCGAATGCGATGTAAAGGACGGAGTTCTCTTCCTTGCTATCCAACCACTGACTCAAAGTTCCCCATCTTTCATCTCCGCTCACGCTATGAAGGTCTTGTGGAGAAATCGGTAAGAAACCGATCGGAAGAACCGGTTTCCCGTAAAGCTTTCTGAGTAGATTCAGTGAGTCGGACTCAAACTCGGGTGAGGTTCTTGAAACGACGATATCGCAGCATTGAATCGTCTCTGCAAGACGCTGAACATCCGTGGCGTCCTCATCCATGCATTCCCAATGACCCTTGATCTCGAACAACTTATAAGCGACGTCGCTTTCGAAGTCGAACCATTCAGGGACGACGGTGAAGTTCTCCGGTCGCTGGCGGCTACCGCCGAGCAACTCAGAGGGCGGCCCGAAAAAGGCCAGCGAGGTGGCGGTGGTTATGCAGAAGAAGACCGAGTTGACACCATGTTCAGTCGCAACTCGGGGAGCCCAGTGGCAGAGGAAGTCATGGACGATCCATTTGATGTCGGTTGATTCGTTGAGGAACTGAGTTAAAGAGGGAACGAGTTTGTCGTAGGCCTTTTTGAGGAAAGGGACTTTGTGAATCGGCAACTCGGAGGTTGACTCAGTGCCTTGTGGTAAGCCATCGACGTGAGGTAAAGGAAAGGAAACAAAGTCTATGTGAGGATGTTTTGGGAGACGTTGGAGGTTTTTTGGGGTGGAAATGAAAGAGATTTTATGACCCTTTTGAGCTAGGAACTTGGAGAGCTCAAAGAATGGCTTAACATGGCCATAAGCTAGCCAAGGGAAGATTGCTATGTGAAGCCTATTATCGTTCTTCTCCATCTTTAGTTAGGTATGTTTAGATAGAGCATCTAGATCTCAAACCTCATAAAAGCAAAAGGTATACAAGAACTTGTCATTTCATTGATGCCCATTTTGAAGGTAATTATAGTTGCAGCAATAGTTTTTCTATTAATATATTATTCATGAATAATAAAATTGGCACAATACGACGTGAAAACTTGTGTTTCAAAACATTATCCAGTGAACTATTACGATCCCTTTTTGTAGGCTAATAATTAGGGCTGTTATTCATGTCACGTTGTGGTGTTCTGATCTATTTTTCTTTACTTTACAGTTAATCTAAACACGATTTATTACACAAAATTTTAAAAAAAATGCAATACAAACACGACAAAAATATTTTACGGGTTAACACAACACGACACAAAAATAACCCGTGATACGAAAATAATCCGTTCGAAATTGACATGAAACTTATTTACTTTTCTCTAGATTTTTACATAGTAGAAATAACTTAAAATTCTTAACACACTAAAATATAATAACATCCATTAAGATTAAACAAATAATAGTATAAGATTTTGAGTATAACTATCATGACAAGTTCATAATAAATTCTAAAATATAAAATGAAATATATATATATATATATTTTAATTTTTTACGAGTTCGTGTCTTGTTTGGATTAGGCAGGTATAAACTGAAATTTATAAGTGTTTTTTGTGTCAATTTTAAGTCGACCTAATTCAAACTCGAATTTTTTTTTTCAATTTTAACCCGCAAAATTTGTATCGTTTTTAAGTCAGGTTGTCGTGTGATAACCCATATTACGGCTTTATTAATAAGACATAATAAGTTGTTCAGTGCGTAATTAGTTTTTGTTTTTCAATTTTAGTGGAAGCTCAACGTTATCTGTTGAATATCGTGTTATTGAATATAATATTCAAAGTGGCTGAGGATGCTTGCTGACAACTCTTAGCCAATTGGGTTTTTGTATAATTTTTTGGACAAATTTCGTGTTTAATTATTTGCTGCGATTAGTGAATGAATAAATTGCACAAAAAAAAATTTCCACATTGATTTTTGTACAGCTCTACAAGTCAAAGGAAAAATAAAAAAGGAAAAAAAAAAAGATTCGCAAGTATAACATGCGTAACGTGCTCTTAAAGCCGTTTTCTCAAACCTTCAATAATTGAGCTTTATACAGGCGCGCTAAGAAAGATTGACTCGCACAAACCAAATCATGATATATTTTGTTAATTGAATAAACCTAATCGTGATATCTTTTTATTGAATAAACCTAATCACATGATATATTTTTTGTTTATGTATTGCTGTTTCCATCATATTCCGTTTTTTAAATGTTAATTTATTCTGTTATATATATTCATGTCATGTCATGTCATGGTTGGCGTTGGACTTATTACATGTGCTTGAGTTCACGTAACATAAATAAAGAAAAAAAAATCCCTTACTGCAAGCATCTGGGGGAGCACCATGAACCCACGACCATGGTGGCGCCGTCTCCTGCAGTGAAACGCAGGGTGCGGCTGTTGTTTGAGGGATAAAAGGTTTGGGCCAGTTTTTAAAATGATTTTGTTTTGACTATGAAAATAGAGATGACAACATTTTGAAAATGGTTGATGGCTGTTTTCTCATTTTCATTTTCATTTTCTAAGCTATAACTTAATACACATTTTTTTGAAATATACCTAAACATAATTTTTAGCTCGTTTGGTTGGAACCAAACGGTCTCTTTATCTTTTTTCTATGCTTAAAACAATCTCTAAGAAAATTAACTAAATGCAATTTCAGAAACAATCTAAGCACTAGTTTAAAAATATTTTCTGCACGTCTTTTGAGGAAAAAACGAAACAGTCTCCAAACCATGTTTGGTTAACAAATACTTTGAAAACGATCGAGATTGAAAACAAAAAACAACGGAAATGGTTTTTGTTTAAATGATTCTCAAACCATTTGATTAACAAAAACTGATTAGTGCATCACCATAAATACTGCTTTTGATTTATATAATATTAAAATATTTAAGCTTTAATTAAACAATTCTACTATTTTTATTCATAATATTTTTTTAATTGGAATTTGTCTAGTTTTTGCTTAATTATTTATAGTGTAAAAACCTTCCCAAAAATAAGCCAAGAAAGCCATGTTTTCAACCATCCGGAGCCAAGCCTCAGCCGAGCCGCACCAAGCCGAGCCAAGCCACTATCATTTCTCTCCGCGTGGGCCCCAGCTCTCCACCTTTCCCCACTCTTTCTCGCGCGCGTCACCAGCACGCCGATCTCTCAGCACGCACGTGACTTCCACGCAGCCATCAGTGGGCGTTAAAAGCGTTCCTCCGCGTGGGTCCCACACCTGCAATGCCAGCCTGCCTTCTTCTCCACGCGTGACACCTGGCTTCCGCGGGTCCCAGCTGTCTCCAACGCCAGCAGACTTCCTCCACTCCGCGTGCGACACGTGGCGTTTTATTCCTTTGATCCAATCAAGCTTCGACACGTATCCCTCCGGCGCTGAATCCGAATTCCTTCCCCAAAAATCAGAGCAAATAACCAGATTTCTTCCCTAAATCAAATATATGATTTCTCCTAATTTATGTGTAATTTTATTTTGTTTCCTTTTCTTTTGTAATAATTCTAGTTTTACTATTTATTTCCTTATTTGACAGGCAACTTCTGAACACTATAAATAGAGGGGTTAGCCTAATGTTTTTGGAAGCTTTTAATATTCAGTTTTCTGTCGTCTTGCTGTCAGTCTCATATTTTCTCTCTAGAACTTGTGAGAATGTTTTGCAAGCTAGGCTAGAGTTCTCTTGGTGAGGTTAGAGATGAACTTCTGTTGAGCGATCCAATTCAGAGTTCTGATTCCTTGTGCTATAAAGTTCAATATCTTAATGAATTAAATCTCATCTATTTTTCTATTACTTTTCAAAATATTGTGTGCCAATTTTTATATAAGTTCAGTCACGCTTTTCTTATGTAATTATGTCACGCATTGTTTTGTTATTTCAATTATTTTATAAATTATCTTTTAGTGCAACATTGTCAAATTGATATATTGTCGATTTTGGATAACTTGTAATAATAATATTTTCGGAGTCAACATGGAGATTTAATTTATTCGATTCTTTTATTTTGTGAATCAAAACTTGAATTGGTGAACGAAGCATTAGGAATTCTCGACACCTTACCGTTTTTATTATTGAATTTTCTTCATACAAATTCCCTCATTTCTATTTTATTTGCAACAAAAATCCCAAAAACTCTCATTTTTCTTTAATTCACTTTTCTCTAACGCTCTTATTCTGTCAGTCATTCTTGTTATTTTGTTATCTCTCTGTGGATACGATCATCCTTCTGTGTTACAATTGACCGCTTGTGAGCATCACTTTTGGGCGTTAATCAAAAACTATTTTCATTGTTTTTTATTTTCAATCTCATTTTCAAAGTATTTGCTAATCAAACACGGTTTGAAGACCGTTTTTATTTTTTACCTCAAAAGACGTGTAAATTTTTTTTAAAAAACAAGTTAAAAACAATTCCAAACATGCCTTATTTATTTGTTTGTTTGTATGTTTTTTAAAAAGAAAAATTCAAATAAAAAAAGTTTTTTTTTTTTTTTTTTTTTTTTTTTTTTTTTTTTTTAATTTGAGAGGTATAGTTAAGAGTAATGGCAGGGATTTTGATCTTCTCCATACACAGTTAGTGTAATGACTGAGAAAATCCCAGACTTTAAATAATACAATTTATTTATTTAAGCCAAGGATTTTCGTAGAAAATATTATGTGACTGAAGGATTTATAGAATCAATATTTGTATTCCTAAATTCTGTAGCAGATTTCATGTTAAGTTCATGTTTTCGATCAAGTAAATTCGATCGAGAAATTCTTGCCGTACTTTAAGGCGGAATAATTTTCAGTACAAGTATAGTTTGAGAATCTTAATTTTAAGAATCTCCAAACACAGCATGATGTTAGCAGCGTAAAAAAAAACGCACCGACATTTTTAAAGAAGAGAAAATCCTTAATTGCCAGACAGCTAGGTTAAAGTCACAAGATAAATACCTATAGTAGAAGGGTACAATGTGAGCTCGGGAGTTGACACTGTCAGAAACAATGTCATTCTCGGGATATAATGCAGAAAAGTTAAATTTAGAATTTATTCAGTCTAGAATTAATTTCAAGACTTGAAACAGTTTAAGATATTACGCGAGTAAGAATTTAACGTGATATCAAAGCAGATGAGGATTTAACAGTTGAACTATAAATAAGTAGTAGAAAAAAAAAGAGAACCGTCAGAAACAATAATTTCCTGTCAGCTAAGTACCCTTTACAGTCAGTATGATTTTTACTTGATTCAAAGGTAACTTAAGAGAGTGGACTAAAGTACAAGGGGGAGGATTTATTTTTCTCTCTCTCCTTCTCCACTTTGGCCGGCCATGCATAGGAAAAAATAGAGCCAAAATTGGTTAGTTGAGTGTGCTAGGAGATTACATGGTAAGGTGTGATGGGATTGTGTCAAATCAACTATTGGACATAAATGCTTACCACACTTCCTTCTTGAAGCACTCCACCGGCCATGCATAGAAAAAATAAAGCCAAAATTAGCTAGTTGAGTGTGCAAGTGGATGACATGTTAAGGTGATGTGATGGTAGTGGTTGAAGGAGAATTCATGCAAATTTGCTTCTTCCTTTCTCCACCTAGAGCCGGCCATGATATAAGGAAATTGAACCAAAAATTTGGTTGTTTGAGAGAGTTGATGTGATGTTAAAAAATTATTTGTAAGTTGTCTATAAAAGGAACCATCATAAGCTATGCCTCATTTTTTCTCCCCTCCTTTTTCCCACACTAAAATCCGGCCATCCCTTATCCAATGCCTCTCAAATATTTTCTCACTCTCCCAAGCTTGAACCACTGGCAAACCATAGAAGAAGAAGAAGGAGATCAAGGGATTCTAGGAGGAGACTAGTCAAGCATCCCTCCAAGGGTAAAGAAACTATAAATCCCCTTTTTTTCATGTTTTAGTAAAGTTTAAAATGTATAAATATTCCTTTTAAATTTCCTTGTACTTTCTAGTTCCAAGCCATTAACAAATCTTAGAGGAGTTCAAAGGTTTTCAAGAGAGAGAGA